GTTTCTTGTAAAACTAAACATGAGGGATGATGAGACAGCTCAGTGGATTAAAATTCTACTAAGCCTAACCACTGAGTTGGATTGCAGCCCCACAAGGTAGGAGACAACAACCACAACTTGTCCTCCAGCCCTATCCTTCACACAAATAAATAAATGTAATTTACAAAACTAAACACCTAACAATCACATGAGGCTGCATTGTATTGCACCCTTCCACTCACTATACCGTGATTTTAGGAACTTTATTCCTAACAGCCGCACCCAAGTGTCCTTCAGTGAAAAATGAGAGGTGATACATCCCTGCTCAGAAGTCAATCAGCAATAAACTGGAAAAGATCAGTGATAAATGCAACATCTTAGCTGATTCTCAAGGAAATTATTCTGGATAAATTTTTAAAAAAGACTTGATTTTAGAAGGTTACATAGAAGAGTCTGGATCGACTACCCAGGGAGCCTGCATAGGACCAACCTAGGCCCTCTATATACGAGTAACATTTATGTAGCTTGATCTACTTGTGGGACTCCTAGAAGTTAGGGAGCAGGGCCTGCCCCTAACACTTTGGCTGCCTCTAAGGAACCTATTCTTCATACTGGATTGCCTTGCTCAGTCTTAATACAAGGGGAGGAACTTAGTCCTACCTCAATTTGATATGCCATGTTTTGTTGACACCCATGGAGGCCTGCTCCTTTCTGAAAGAAACAGAGGAGTGGATTGGGGGTAAGGGGAGATGGGGGGAGGAAATAGGAGGAGAGGAGGAAGGGGAAACTGTAGTCGGGATGTAAAATAAATGACTATTTGGTTTTCCGAGACAGGGTTTTTTTGTAGCTTTGGAGCCTGTCCTGGAACTAGATCTGTAGACCAGGCTGGCCTCAAACTCACAGAGATCCACCTGCCTCTACCTTCTGAGTGCTGGGATTAAAGGCATGTGCCCCCACTGCCTGGCTGAATAAATTTAATTAATAAAAAAGAAGGCTATGTAGTAAAATTGTTTCTGAAAACCTAATAATATAAAATGAATAAATAAATAAAACCAACAGATTACCTTTTTAAAATCTCAATAAATTAAATCTCTATAAAACTGGTAGATTATCCCAGTGCAATTTTCTGTTTTTGATATTCTATTATAGTTGTGTAAAGATATAGAACCTCTCTGTATTATACATTTTGCAACTTTGTGTGAACTTATTCATTACTTCAGAATTAAAAGGTAAGCTAGGAGTAGTGATTCGTGCTTGTAATCCCAGCATTCAGGAGGTTGAGCTAAGAAGAGCACCCATAAGTTCAAGGCCACCGTAGACTACTTAATGTTTCCTACTTGCATGGGCTGTAGTGTGAGACTCTCAAAAAAGGTTCCTAGGGCAAGTGAGATGACTCAGGGGATTAGGATACTTGCTGTCAAACTTGATTACCTGAGTTTGATCCCCAAGACCCACAAGGTGTAAGAAGAGACCCAACTCCTGAAAGTTGTTCTCTAACCTCCACATTCAGGTCTACGGAACCCACAACACCCCCTACATGCACTAAATCAATGTAATTGAAATTAGAAAGCATTCTGGGCCTTTGTCCTCTCCAAGTGTACCTTGTGAAAAATACTCACCAGGCTTTTCAAGTGGCCAAGAGATAGGAGGTAATAGAGTCTAAGCTGGCATGCTGCTGCTGGTCTGGGCACTCATGTACACTGTGTCATAGGTGTGAAGTAATAACTGCAATGGACTGTAGAGTGAGGCATCCATCATGGTGGGGGGAGATATTCCATGATACAAGGTACCCAAAGAGGAATCCATTAGGGCTGCAGTGTGGCTTTTCCATAGAGCACTTGCCTAGAACACTTCAAGTTTGGGGTTCTACCTCCAGCACTGGGAAAGAAGGGAAAAGGTGGGAGAAGATGAGAGGAAGAGAAAAAGAGAGGGGAAGAAAGACCGGGGATAGAAAAGGAAAGAGGAGCCGGGCAGTGGTGGCACATGCCTTTAATCCCAGCTCTCGGGTGGCAGAAGCAGGTGGATCTCTGTGAGTTCGAGGCCAGTCTGGTCTACAAGAGCTAGTTCCAGGACAGGCTCCAAAGCTACAGAGAAACCCTGTCTCAAAAAAAAAACAAAAAAAAGAAAAGAAAGAGAAAAAAGAAAAGGAAATGAAAGAGGAAGGAAGGGAAAGGGAGAGAGAAGAGAGAGAGAGAGAAGAGATAGAGAGGAGAGAGAGAAAGAGAGAGAGAGAGAGAGAGAGAGAGAGAGAGAGAGAGAGAGAGAAGAGAGAAATCAACCTGGCTAGGTGGGGGACAAAGGCAGGCTTAAGAATCCAAGACCATGGTGTCTAGGGAACTAGATGGCTAAGCAAGAAAAGGTATCTATTGTCAAACCCAATGTGCTGATTTAATCCCCAGAGCCTACACAGAAGAAGAGAACCAAGTCCAACAAGTTGTCCTCTAACCTTTACTCCCACACTTGTAGCAATGTACCCACACAATATGCACACAGACATAGATTTTAAAAGTTAAATATTTTTTCAGTTTTTTATTGATATTTATTGAGCTCTACATTTTTCTTTGCTCCCCTCCCTGCCTCTCCCCTCCCCACTTTAACCCTCCCCCAAGGTCCCCATGCTCCCAATTTACTCAGGAGATCTCTTTTTCTACTTTCTACTTCCATGTAGATTAGATCTATGTAAGTCTCTCTTAGTGTCCTCATTGTTGTCTAAGTTCTCTGGGATTGTGGTTTGTAGGCTGGCTTTCTTTGCTTTATTTTTAAAAATCACCTATGAGTGAGTACATGTGATAATTGTCTTTCTGTGTCTGGGTTACCTCACTCAAAATAATGTTTTCTAGTTCCACCCATTTTCCTGCAAAATTCAAGCTGTCATTTTTTTCTGCTGTGTAGTACTCCATTGTGTAAATGTACCACATTTTTCTTATCCATTCTTCAATCAGGGGCATTTAGGTTGTTTCCAGGTTCTGGCTATGACAAACAAAGCTGCTATGAACATAGTTGAGCACATGCCCTTGTGGTACAATTGAGCATCCTTTGGATATATACTCAAAAGTGGTATTACTGGGTCTTGAGGGAGTTTGTTCCCTACTTTTCTGAGAAATCGCCACACTGATATCCAAAGGGGTTGTACCAGCTTTCATTCCCACCAGCAATGCAGAAGTGTTCCCCTTTCCCCACAACCTCTCCAGCATAAGTTGTCATCAGTGTTTTTGATCTTGGCCATTCTTACAGGTGTAAGATGGAATCTCAGAGTTGTTTTGATTTGCATTTCTCTGATGACTAAGGATGTTGAACATTTCCTTAAGTGCCTTTCAGCCATTTTAGATTCCTCTGTTGAGAGTTCTCTGTTCAGGTTTGTACTCCATTTTTTTATTGGATTATGTGATCTTTTGGTGTCCAATTTCTTGAGTTCTTTGTATAATTTGGAGATCAGACCTCTGTCTGATGTGGGGTTAGTGAAGATAAAAGTTAAGTATTTTAAGGCTTGAAGACTAGATTCAGATACATAACAATTAGTAGACCAGCTTAAGATATAAAGAAAGAGAGGGAAAGGGAGACAGTGGGAGAAGAGAGGAGGGGAGGAGGAAAGGAAAGGGGAAGAGAGTGGGGGCATGATGTGGGATTCCTCTCGGTATGCTGTGAATACCATTGATTAATAAAGAAGCTGTTTTGGGGTTGTGATAAGGTAGAGCAGAGCTAGGAGGAAAAAACTAAACTGAATGCTGGGAAAAAGAAGGCAGAGTCAAGAGACACCATGGAGCCACCAGAGGAGAAAGACATAAGCTGCCAGCAGGAACCTTACCTTGCCAGTAGGCCATGAGCCTCATGGTAAAATATTAAATAATAGAAATGTGTTAATTTAAGAGAAAAGATTGAGCTAGAAATATGCATAAGCTAATAGGCCAAGCAAGCAGTGATGCAATTAATACAGTTTCTGTTTGGTTATTTTGAGTCTGAGCAGCCGGAAACAAACAAATGGGTCCTTCAACAAATTGGCACCCAACGTGTGCCAGTTAAACCCATGTAAAACCTGAGAAAGATTAAAAAGTAATTTTAAACACACACACACACAAAAAAAAAAAAAAACAAAGTTAAGCATGGCTTCTTGGTAGCCAGCATTTTGCTGGTGGCATGTCACAACTCCTTTAAGAATAGTCTTCCTGATTCAGCAGTAGCAGAAAAAAAAAATCCACACTGTTTCAAAACAGCAGGACAAATGGCTCTGGCTCTTTCAGGAGGCTGAGCACTTGAATAGCGTTTGTGGACCTAGGTGCTTGTGTGCCCACTCAGGGCCAGGAGAAAAATAGCTGAGACCATGCCCATGGCTCAGCGCTCCCCGCCTAGGCAGGCAGGAGAGCATGGTGGATTCTTGCCACTATACACAGAGATATTTACAGGCCTTCAGTACACTTCATGGCAGATTTAGCTTTTACTCAGATAAAAAGGGTTTATATGCTGTACAGTGCTTCTCCGAGTTTAGGTGGTGAGGATGGCTCCCACTGGGCAGTCTCAGAGGCAGTAAACATGCTTCTTCCATGTTGAACTGGGCAGAGCCAAGAGGCAGGGTCTTGTTGGCCCTAACCACACATGCCTAAAAAAAGGGGGCGCTTCTAGTCAGAAAATAATTACAGATACACAATAAAACAGATTTAGATAAAAAAAAAGACCTCTAAATGGGTCATAGTGATGGATAAATGTATGTAGGCTTGGGAGAGAGAAGAAAAAGAGTATAGAGAGTTATAAAAAGAAGTAAATCATTTTAAAAAATAAAACAAAGTCTTTAAAGAGACTGAGTACAGGCAGTCATAGATTAAAGGAAGTAAAGAAAAATAAGCCATGTAAAGATGGAATATACACAGAGAGTATAGATTATGTATATTATTGTGTTTTCTTTGAATTTTTGACTGCAGAGAGATATTTGATTCTGGGGACTGCTAAGCTAAACCAACATATATGCTTTAAAGGTTTCTTGACTTCAGAATATAGGTCTAATGATATGTTGCTTTGGAAAAGAGGTTCTTCTTTTGTTTCCACAAAGGATGAGAACCTATAGATTCATTCCAGGCTAATATGGTTTGATGGACCATGAAGCCCCGAAAGGTCACTATGAACACCTCCCAAAATACTTCACTATTATGAGTCTGTAAGGACAGAAACTAGATGAGTCCATTGAAGGACAAGTCTGGGGCAAGTCCAGGAGAGAGCGGCACTAGCAGACATGTGTGCCAGTGATGATAAGAGTGACGTATAGGCAGACAGGAGTGTTAATCTGGAGTGTGACGTAGGAAGAAGTGAAGTGAGGCTGAATAATAGTATAAAAAGTGAGGCAAAGGGACCAGAAACCATTCTCAAGATGATCTGCTAGAGAATCTGTCGGAGAGGTGCCAGAGAAACTCTACAGCATTGAGAATCAATCAATCAATCAACCAACGAGACATTGGACCAGAGATCTTCCAAGAGCCAGAGAACTTGCTCTTGCCTGCAGATCAAGACTTGCTGATCCAGAGGTCTACATCGAGAGTCACGAACCATCATCAGGTTGTACACCCCCAATGCCTTATTAGATAGAATATAGTAATGCTTTCCTAGGATTTAGAAATAGATATGTGCTTGTGTGACATTGCTTGTGTGATATTATACCCTTGCTTGTGATGATGATATTTGCTTCTTATTAGCTGTGCCAGAACAACTGTAAGATCTTGAAGTGCTTATACAATAAATGTAGTTCGAACAAAGCAGAGAATTGCTATTCTGAGTGTCATTCACTTGCAGACCTCTAAGTGAAGCCAGAAGGCCACTCAGTAGTGCTCATGACATTCACCCAACAAAAAGCAGTAAGAAGTTTGGAGAGAACTATGCCCAAATTTCCTAAATAATTGCTTATAAATGTTTGTTTACATTTAAAGGGGGACATGCTATAGAAATTTGCATTGGTATGAATCTTGTTCTAGTGATACAAATTTAAGGTCAATTTTGTATTTCTGTTTTTGATTAAGGTATTGAGCTTGTGCAGTTCATTTAAAAATTTAATGTATAATTAAGAAATACAGGTTAAGTCAAGTGGTGGTGTTGCACACCTTTAATCCCAGCACTCAGGAGGTAGAGGCAGGTGGATCTCTGTGAGTTCAAGGCCAGCCTGGTCTACAAGACCTAGTTCCAGGACAAGCTCCAAAGCCACAGAGAAACCCTGTCTCAAAAAATCGAAAGAAATAAATATAGGTTAATAGATAGTCATCCATAATAGTCAAACTTCTAGTCATGTTAGTTAGGCTTTCTAGATATATAGAGATATACTTCAGTTAGGTATTCTTCAAATCTTTCAAAGACTAACAAAATATGGCATATTAAGTGTTTTAAGAATTTAGGATTTTTCATGACTATGAGACATGTCTGCTCCTGGCAGCACCAATTACTTCAAGAGGAAGATGGGCATTGAAGAGGCTCCTCATGGAGTTTGTTAGCCATTTGGGCAAGAAACTGCTCTTGTCTGAACTGCTTGATGGTATGCTACATGAATTGGACATGCAGGACCCACAGAGAAATGACTGCTGAACTTGCCTAAAGGTGAGATGGTCCTTAGGGGCTCCCACTTCATGAAAGAGTTTGCCAGACATTCCGCAGGACACAGAAAAAAATGTCTGACAAACTGCCAATATAGGTGGAACTATCTTTGAAATTTCCTGCTTCATGGGAAATTCTGCCAGATACTATGAGCCTGTAGGCTGAAGTTGGATGCTCCAACAATACAGAAGAACTTCGGGTGACTGTCCAGGCAGCAAGATGTCTCTGTCAATTCCAGAGTTTTGGAAGTTGCTTACAATCTACTTCCTGTTTACTTAGGTAATATTTTATACTCTGGAGTCTTTGATGGAATTGAATAATAGTTATAGTTTTCCTTAGTTATGATGAAAGAAAAAGTAGATATAAATATTGTAACTAATTCTTGCTTGATATCTGTTTTGTTATATGTAATTTTACTATGTTAAAGTTAAAACCTTCCTTTTTATTTAAACAGAAAAGGGTAGGTCATGAGAGATTCCCCCTCTGTATGTTGTGAATACCATTGGTTAATAAAGAAGCTGTTTTGGGACTGTGATAGGCCAGAGTAGAGCTAGGTGGGGAAAATTAAACTGAATGCTGGGAGAAAGAAGGCAGAATCAGGAGACGCCATGGAGCCGCCAGAGGAGAAAGATGCAAGCTGCCAGCCAGAATCTTGCTGGTAGGTCATGAGCCTCGTGGTCAAATATTAAATAATAGAAATGGGTTAATTTAAGAGATAAGAGTGAGCTAGAAATATACATGAGCTAATAGACCAAGCAGTGATGTAATTAATACAGTTTCTGTGTGGTTGAGTCTGGGCAGCTGGGACCACATAAGCAGACTCCTACAACAGGGGAGGAGAAGGAAGGGGAGGAAAATGAGGGGAAAGAAGAGAAGACGGGAGGGGAGAGGAGTGGAAAGGAAAGGAGAGAAAAGGAGGGGAAAGGAGAGGAGAGGAGAGAGAAGGGAGAGAGAGAGAGAGCTGCTGAGCCATTTTAGGAATCTAAACAGGTTCTGTGGAGAAGATAAAAATAATGGTGAATCAATCCCACACCAATTATGTTTTAAGGGGGTATTTATTTTGGGGGGTAAAACTTACATACACCATAAACCGTCAGGAAGGGAGCCTAGTCGCTGGAGCAGGAGCTGGGAGCAGGAGCCGGAACCAAGCACCGAAACCAAGAGGCCCAGCTGAGCTTGCCGCTCTTCTTTTAAAGAGAAATATACCACGCCCCAGTGGGCTGGTATTTCAGCGGCTATTGGCTGACGGAGCGGAAGGCACTCCCGCAACATTGTGGGCTCATGCTTCAGCGACTATTGGCTGAAGCAGCGGAAGGTACTCCCGCAGCATAAACTTGCTTCTGATCCCAGCCACACTGAATATTTTGTTGCAAATGGCAAACATCAACCCTAGTATATGGGGAAGTTGCATAAGTAAGGCACTCTCAGTCTCTCTTTTAACAATTTCTCTCTCTCTCTCTCTCTCTCTCTCTCTCTCTCTCTCTCTCTCTCTGTGTGTGTGTGTGTGTGTGTGTGTGTGTGTGTGTGTGTATGTGTCCCTGTCCCAATGTGTGTGTGGAGGTGAAAGGAAAAACTGTGAGGAGTTGGTTCCTGCCTTCTAGCTTGTGAAGCAGGATAGCTATTTACCACAGAACACAGTTACTCCAGGCAAGTCCTCTTCCCAGTTAAGCCATCTCCCTGAGCCATCTCTCCATGGTCTTTCTTGACTCCCTCCTATAGGATACTTGTCTTGTCTCCTGACATCTCAGAGTACTTTGGTGGGCCAAACATAGTGACAAATGTCTGAAAGGTCAGCACTCAGGAGTCTTGGGCAAGATGGCTGTGAATTTGAAGCTAGTCTGTCTCAAACAAATTAACAAACAAAAAGTATACTTTGCTAAATTTGTCCTAAGCTCCATGTTAACAAGATCCTGTTCTTTTGGTTTACTATGCGCAGGCTAAGGTGATGAAGCTGTGTGCTATCTGCAACAAAACTACCACCATATCCCAAGAGTTCAGACAACAGACACTGCTCACAGTTTTGAAGGCTAGGATCAAGACCCTGGTAGATTTGGTGTATATTTCTGCTTGTTTGTTCAAGATAGGGTCTCACTAAGTAGTCCTGGCTGTCCTGGAACTTATTCTGTAGACTGTAGGGCCCTGTCTCCCCTTACTCCCTGGGGTGCATCTGGAGGACAGTTCTGGTCAGCCAGCTAAAGCTTCCTGCTGTCCCGGTGCTCACTCTGCTATAGCCTGGTGATTTAGCTGTAGGGCTTTGCTTCATCTTTGGTATGGCAATTTCCCACCTGCCCGGGAGAATTCCTACATGGCACCAAGTTCTCTCTCCACTGCTGTGCTGCTCTCCACCCACAACCCCCTGCCTGGGGAGGAGTCCCTACGGTGCCAGGTCCCATATGGCGCCAGTTCCCCTACAGCGCCAGTTTCCCCTCTGGCTGGGAAGAAATTCCTTTACTGCGGCCAAGGTATATTAGCTTGGCATTAAGCTGAATAAAGTGGCATTCGGTGATCTCCTGTCGAATGACCCTGGTCTCTTGTGTCTTTGTTCAATCTCCAGGCCTTTGCCCAAACTCTCGTAAGGTATGGAGGTGCACGACCCTTACCGAGAGGGTAACATGAATTCGGCTGTTACAGTAGACCAGGGTGGCCTCAAACTCACAGAGCTCTACCTTCCTCTGCCTCCCCAAGTGCTGGAAGTAAAGGTGTGTGCCACCATGCCCTGCATCTAGTGAGGGCTAATAGATGGTGCTTTTCCCTATTCCCTCACATGGTGGAAGGGGTCAGAAATCTGTCATGGGATGAAATAAGGTGGCCTTACTCCCTAACCACCATCAGTTTCTAACTCTACTGCCTGAGGGGTTAAGATTTTGACATAGAAGCTTTGGGATGACACAAATTAGCAATATTGTTCCCTTTAGAAATACTTTAACTCCAGTCATTCAAAAGGTTTGTTTGTCATAATGGATACTAGCTAGGTTAATTCCTGTTGAAATAAATGGTACAGGGCTAGAGGGACAGCTCATGGGTAGGGTACTTTCCTGCTCTATTTGAGGCCTGAGTTTGATTCAGAGACCTTACCAGTCAGGCTCTTGCTACATAGTACTCACAATTCTGATCACTTGATGCCTACATCATGGGTTTCAAGCCTTTACTTGCCTGCTATACACAAACCAACTCAAAGAATGCAAATACAAATGGTGCTGGGAAGTCACTCAATCCTAGGCTTCCTGATCTAGGCTTTCTGCTGTGGTGTGGGAGAATTGTCTGTATTCTGTCAATCATGTTTTAAATAAATGCTGATTGGCCAGGCAGGAAGTATAGGTGAGTCAACCAGACAGGAAGTAGAGGTAGGGCGATGAGAATAGGAGTATTCTGGGAAGCAGGAAGCTCCCTCTGCACTCCTGTCCAGATACTGAAGAAGCAGGATGTGACCTGCCCTGCTGGAAAAGGTACTGAGCCATGTCACTAACATAGATAAGAATAATGGGTTAGTATAAGTTACAAGAGCTAATAAGAAGCCTGAGCTAATGGGCCAATCAGTTTTATAACTTATGGAGATCTCTGTGTGATTTTCTTTGGGGCTTGCTTGTTGTGGGGTACCGGGTGGGACAGATATCCCAACAAGCAAGCCAGACCTCATGTTACACTGCTGAGGGTGGTGTGGAGCTGTCCACTGTTATGAATACCTCTTACTGGCACTGCAGTAATGGCATACTTAGCTGGCCTAGCTCTAGACCAGGATATGGCAGTGCTATACCTTCCAGGCAGGTCTTAGCATTCTACTCAGGGGGGTCTTTGCCACAGCTGTTGTCATTTAATATCACCTAAAACAAATTAGTGGTAGAATGAATTTGGACACTCCGTGGTTTAATGGGCTGGCATATGTTTTCTAAAAACTAAAGCTCACCAAGGCCAGCTGGACTGGGACTGATGAAGCGTGTGATCAAACCGGACTCTCTGAATGTGGCTGACAATGAGGGCTGACTGAGAAGCCATGATAATGGCACTGGGGTTGGATTCTACTGCATGGACTGGCTTTGAGGGAGCCTGGTTTCTTTGGATGCTTACCTTCCTAGACCTGAATGGAGGGGGGAGGACCTTGGACTTTCCACAGGGCAGGGCACCCTGACTTCTCTTAGGACTGGAGAAGAGGGGAAGGGGAGTGGGAAGAGGGGAAGGGAAATGGGAGGAGGGGAGGAGGTGGAAATAGAAAAAGAAAAAAGAAAAACGAAAAAAGAAAAAAAGAGCTCTCTCTTCCTCTTTCTGAGACAGGGTCTCACTTTGTGTTCAAACTTATGAGAATCTTCCTGCCTCGGTTTTCCAAGTGCTGGGATTACACCATGCCCAACTACTAAAAAGAGTTCTTGCTTGACAGATGGCTGGAGATTGTAGCTGCAGGGGAACAGGCTATGATGCTTTGTGGCCTTGTTCATCTCTGTACAGTCCATGTAGGGAAAGGCTTGCTGGTCATCCTACAGGTATCTTGCTAGAACAGTTTAACAGTTTTCCCTTGAATGTGGCTTGATGAGCAGCCTGATGAGAAGCCTCCATGAGGCAGTATCTCACTAGTCTTGCTGGCTCTGATGAGACTCAGGGCTTGCTTTCTTGACACACTTAAAGTTGATTGGCAGGCTTCTGTGTAAGGCTATTTTAAACATGGCTGTGATTCACAGTTGGCCCCTGTGACAGAGTTACCTACCCATCTGTGCCTATCACCTGACCTCCTCAGTTCAGTGGTACCCTGTGGTACAGAATGTGACAGCTGACACTTATCTAGAGTGTCTCCTTAAGTGATAAGCAGCTTGTATGCCTAGGCTTAAGGTATCTGTCAAGTTGAATTCATGGGCAAGTGACCAGCTGACCTAGCAACCACCTCTGTGTTGCTTAGGAACCACTTCACCATTTGACATCCATGTATGTAAATGCTAAGGAGGATGTGCTTCCACATGTTCTGGCATTTTGATGAATCATCTTTCCATTGTCACCTTTTCCTACAGTTCTTCCCCCAGTGGCCTTCTGTGTTGAATTGCCTTGATAGCTCAACACCCTCAAGGGATGGAATTCTGTGAGTCACTGGGGACTCAAATGTGGAGTGTGATGGAAGAATTTCTAAAAGGAAGACAAGAATCCATAATTGTATATTTCCTAGAAAAATTTCAATAACAAATACTTAGAAGACTGAGGTAAATGGAACATCATTGATTCAAGGTCACCCTGAGCTAGCACAGTAAAACCATGTCTCAAAACATTAGAAAAAGAGCCTGGTAGTGGGGGTGCATACCTTTAGTCCCAGTACTTAAGAAGCAGATGCAGACCAGTCTCTGTGAGTGCAAGGCCAATCTGGTATACAGAGAGAGTTCCAGGACATTCCAGGATATAGAGAAACCATATTGCAAACAAAACAAAAAAGCAGGGAGGAATTCTAGCTACTCAAGATGCTAAGGCAAGAGAAGCAAGAGTTCAAGTCCTACCTGGGCAGTCTAGTGAGACCTCAAAAAAAATGCGGGAGAAATGGCTCATCAGTTAAGAGCATGTACTGCTCTTCCAGAGGTCCTGAGTTCAGCTCTCAACATCTGAATTGGGCAGTTCACAACTGCCTGTAACTCCAGCTCCAGGGGATCTGATGCCCACTTCTAACCTACACAGGCACTGGGCATGATTGTGCATGTGTGAGTGCATACACAGAGACAGACAAACAGACAGACAGTACTGGAAAGAATGCCACTCAAGGCCCCTCACCTCCCTGAGATTCCATTTGCTACCACAGAGGAAATTAACAGTTGACTATAATGAGACTTCTCCATGGTGCAGCTGTTGGCAAGTCATCTGGGGACCTCCCCACACCCTGGTGGCACAGTTGTCTCTGAATTGCCTAAGATCCTGTAAATAACCCCAATGAATTTGCTAGTTCATCCAAACTGACCTTGGATGGAATCCTTCTTTGGTATATTGGTGGTCTCTCTATCTGAGGTCAATAGATATTTCTTTATGTCTTCCCAAAAAGTCACCCAATGAGCCCAACAGAACAGGGAAGAGGGACTGGTGAGATGTGTCAGTGGGTCAAAGCATTTGTTGTCAGGCATGATGATCTGAGTTCAGTCCCTACAACCACATGGTGGAAGGAGAGAATGAACTCCCAAAAATTGTGTTCTGACCTCCATTTGTGCACCATGGCCTATGAGCATTCGAACACATACATAGAAACACATACACACACACACACACACACACACACACACACACACACACACACACACACATGACAGACAGACAGACAGACAGACAGACAGATAGATAGATAGATGTAATTTAGAGGCAGGTGAATTTCTTTGAGTTCCAGGCTAGCCAGGGCTACATAGTAAGACCTTGTCTTAAAAAATTATTTGAAATAGCATAAAATATCTCGGAGTAACTCTTAACCAAACAAGTGGAAGACTTGTATGACAAGAACTTTAAATCTTTGAAGAAAGAAATTGAAGAAGACACCAGAAAGTGGAAAAAAACTCCCATGCTCTTGGGTAGGCAGAATTAACATAGTAAAAATGGCAATCTTACCAAAAGCAACCTACAGATTCAACGCAATGCCCATCAAAATCCCAGCAAAATTCTTTTTAAAAATTATTTATTTATTTATTTGTTTATTTATTTATTATGTATACAATATTCTGCCTGTGTGTATGCCTGCAGGCCAGAAGAAGGCACCAGACCTCATTACGGATGGTTGTGAGCCATCATGTGGTTGCTGGGAATTGAACTCAGGACCTTTGGAAGAGCAGGCAATGCTCTTAACCTCTGAGCCATCTCTCCAGCCCCAAAATTCTTCAAAGACCTCGAAAGAACAGTACTGAACTTCATTTGGAAAAGCAAAAAAACCCATGATAGCCAAAACAATCCTGAGCAATAAAAGAACTTCTGGAGGCATCTCAAGCCCTGACTTCAAACTCTACTACGAGCTACAGTACTGAAAACAGCCTGGTATTGGCATAAGAACAGACAGGAAGACAAATGGAACCAAATAGAAGACCCAGATATCAATCCACACATCTTCGAACACCTGATCTTTGATTTAAAAAAAAGCAAAAAAAATCAAATGGAAAAAAGAAAGCATATTTAACAAGTGGTGCTGGCATAACTGGATATCAACATGTAGAAGAATGAAATAGACTCATATCTATCACCATGCACAAAACTCAAGTCCAAATGGATCAAAGACCTCAAAATAAAGTAAGCCACACTGAACCTTATAGAAGAAAAAGTGGAAAATACACTTGAACACATTAGCACAGGGAACCACTTCCTAAATAGAACCCCAGCAGCACAGACACTGAGAGAAACAATTAATAAACGGGACCTCCTGACACTGAAAAGCTTCTGTAAAGCAAAGGACACAAAACAAAACGACAGCCTATAGAATTGGAAAAGATCTTCACTAACCCCACATCAGACAGAGAGGTCTGATCTCCAAAATATACAAAGAACTCAAGAAATTGGACACCAAAAGATCACACAATCCAATAAAAATAATGGAGTAAAGACCTGAACAGAGAACTCTCAACAGAGGAATCTAAAATGGCTGAAAGACACTTAAGGAAATGTTCAACATCCTTAGTCATCAGGGAAATGCAAATCAAAACAACTCTGAGATTCCATCATACACTTGTAAGAATGGCCAAGATCAAAAGCACTGATGACAACTTATGCTGGAGAGGTTGTGGGGAAAAGGGAACACTCCTGCATTGCTGGTGGGAATGAAAGCTGGTACTGTAAGACTTTAAGACAATTCTGAAGCCATTTCTGAACACTCTCAGCCTCCGTGCTTTAGTGCTTACCCTCCTCCCCTGGGAACCAAGGACCTAACGGCTACACATGCACGTATGTTCTCCAGAAATTGGAGCAAGATAACCTTTAAGATGTTGACTCAGTTCCTGAACAATTACCCATACATGTATGTTTTGACTCAGTCCCCTGGGAAACGGGGTCAAAATGACCTCTTACCTCATCTGATCTGACAATAGCTCTCCAGCCAATTATTGGTATTAGCCCTTTTCTAATAAGCCAATCATAATGGTCAGAGAACAACCCCCCTTGCTTCTGTGCCCTTCTCCTTTAAAAGTAGACTGTACCAGCTATTCGAGGTCTCTTGGCTTCCTGAATGCTGAGGGACCCTGTCATGACAGAATTAATAAAATCCTCATGCTTTCGCATCGACTGTGGTATATGAGGTGGTCTCTGGGGGTGACTCCTTCTCAGTGTTTGGATGCTAGGGTTCAACAGTACAACCCCTTTGGATGTCAGTGTGGCAATTTCTCAGAAAAGTAGGAAACAAACTCCCTCAAGACCCAGTAATACCATTTTTGGGTATATATCCAAAGGATGCTCAATTGTGCCACAAGGGCATGTGCTCAACTATGTTCATAGCAGCTTTGTTTGTCATAGCCAGAACCTGGAAACAATTTAAATGCCCCTCGATTGAAGAATGGATAAGAAAAATGTGGTACATTTACACAATGGAGTACTACACAGCAGAAAAAATGACAGCTTGAATTTTGCAGGAAAATGAATGGAACTAGAAAACATTATTTTGAGTGTGGTAATTCAGACACAGATAGACACAATTATCACTCATAGGTGGTTTTTAAACATAAAGCAAAGAAAGCCAGCCTACAAACCACAATCCCAGAGAACTTGGACAACAATGAGGACACTAAAGAGAGACTTACATAGATCTAATCTACATGGGAAGTAGAAAGTAGAAAAAGAGAAGATCTGAGTAAATTGGGAGCATTGGGACCTTGGGGGAGGATTGAAGGGGGGAGGGGAGTGACAGGGAGGGGAGCAGAAAAAAATTAATATATAAATATCAATAAAAAGAAAGAAAGAAAGAAACCCTATTTCGAAGAGGAAAACATCAGCACACCTCTTTTAAAAAGCATTTTGCTGTACTTTGGGGTGAGTGGACCAACAACTGGCTGAGACTAACCAAGATGGCAGAACAAAGGCTGAGATTATTTTTAAGTTCTAAGGAAAGGAATGCATCCTAAATGCTACACATATTTTTGTAAAAAGACAACTTTGGTGCTTGATCTTTGGTGAAAAAAATAGGGAATTTTATAAATGCATCCAAATGTTACTGGAGAGGCAGGAGTTAGGAGGATTATCAAGAATTCACAGGCGGCTGAGGAGCTCTTCCCAGAGAGGTGAGTGGGTGCTCGCCTGGGCAGCCTGCCTGTCCAGGAAGAGAGCACAGCCCCTCCCCCCTCAGCTTCTGTGGCAGGGTCTTCGGTGTTCCAAGGGACCCCTCCCCTCCCCCCACTGCTGCGGGCCCTTTGTCTCCCGGGTCCTGGGAAGACCAACTAGCCCTGTTGCACTGCTGAGGAGCTCTTCCCAGAGAGGTGAGTGGGTGCTCGCCTGGGCAGCCTGCCTGTCCGGGAAGAGAGCACAGCCCCTCCCCCCTCAGCTTCTGCGTCAGGGTCTTCGGTGTTCCAAGGGGCCCCTCCCTCCCGCCACTGCTGCGGGGCCCTTTGTCTCCCGGGTCCTGGGAAGACCAGCTAGCCCTGTTGCACTGCTGAGGAGCTCTTCCCAGAGAGTGATGAGGAGCTCTATCCAGAGAGTGCTGAGAAGTCCTACCCAGAGAGTGGTGAGGAGTTCTATCCAGAAAGTGCTGAGGAGTTTCATCCAGAGTGGAGGAGATGGGCAGGCGCCAATGCAAGAATTCCTCCAACAACCTGAAAGGCAACATGACATCTCCAGAATCCAGGGAGCTCGAAACTAGAAGAATTCAACACCCTACTCCAGAAGAAATAGAAGAAATCGACTCTAAGTGGATCTTTATGAAAATAATAGAGGAACTTAAACAGGAGGTGAAAATCTGCCGTAAAGAAATGGAGGATAAGTATAACAAAAAGATTGAGGAAATAAGTAAAGAAATGGAAGAGAAATATAACAAAAAGTTTGAAAAAATGAGTAAATTCGTAAATGAAATTCTGGGAAACCAAGAAAAAACAATCAAACAGGTAATAGAAACAGTTCAAGATTTGAAAACTGAAATGGAGTCAGTGAAGAAATCACAAACTGAGGGCCGGCTAGCTATGGAAAATCTAGGTAAACGAACAGAGACTTCAGAAACAAGCATAACCAATAGAACACAAGAGATAGAAGAAAGAATCTCAGACTCTGAGGACACCATAGAGAAATAAAACACTCTGACCAAAGAAAACAGCAAATCCAACAAATTCTCATCACAAAACATTCAGGAACTGTGGGACACAATAAAAAAACCAAATCTAAGAATAATAGGAGTAGAAGAAGGAGAAGAATTGCATTTCAAAGGTCCTGAAAATATACTCAACAAAATTATAGAAGAAAACTTTCCCATCCTAAAGAACAATATTCCTATGAAGGTTCAAGAAGCATACAGAACACCGAATAGACTGGATCAGAAAAAAACATCCCCTCGTCATATAATAATCAAAACACAAAGCATTCAG